CCCCCCCTCCCCCTTCCTCGTCTCACCGCCTTCCCCACACCCCATGAATGTTTCATGGCGCGGCCCGGCGACAGCAGCAGCAGCAGCAGCCGCCCCAGAGAGGTGAGGATGGGCCAGCCAGAGAGGCCTGATTTACCAGCAGCAGGGACACGGCGGCACTTTATTTTTCAGCGCATCCACAAAACATTCAGGTCGCGCACACACGCGCTCGCGCGCCCTGCAAATAAATTCGCGGTCGCGCACCCCTCCCGCAATAATTGCAACACTGGATGAAAGAGAGAGCAGCAGCGGCGTACAGAGAGCGGTTACTTATGGCGACCCCGCCCGCCTCCCCGACCAGCCCCACCACCGCCGGGCGCAGCAGCCGCCACGCCCCGCCCCACCCCGCCCTGCCGCGCACCACGCCCCGTCACGGCCAACTTTTTGGGGGACGTTGGGGAGGCAGCCCTTTGTTGAGCGGGGCCGCGGGTCCGGGCGCGCGGCGACGCCACGCAAACGCCACCTGTCGACGGGCGGCGGAGGCTGTATCGACCTGGGGCACGCGGCGGGAGCGCACCAGCAGCGCGAGGGGGAGGTCAGGGAAGGGGGTGGCGGCGGCGGGCGGGGGGTGGCCGTCGAGGGGGTGCAAGATGGCGGCCTCCACGGGCCGGCGATACCGTGGGCTGCGGGGGACCCCGCCCTGGCGCCTTGCGCCGGCAGATGGCGCCAGGGGCGAGCGAAGCATAGAACCGAACCGAAGAGAAAGCAGAACTTCCGCGAGGTGGTGGAGCAAGGCGTGCCCAACTTTGGTGTCAAACACCATAATGATGCTGTGCATTACAATCCTGTTCGGAAGTTTTTTTTGGTATACCGATGCAAAAACTTTGTGCGGTCACGGGGGTTACACGCACCGGCACTATCCCGCGCAAGCCTTGTTTTGCACTACACGGGTACACGACCCCATACACACTATTAATACCCGCCAACAACTTGAAAGAGCTTTCACTGCGGGGCCCTAGAGTCGCGGCGGCAAGCGTGCAGCAGCGGTATTGTAACTCCCGGGGCTTCATTACGAACCAACACGGGGCATTATACAATGCAGGCGCGGCGGGGGTAAGTGGCGGCCGTGGTAGCAGTAG